CTACTCACTCACTCAGCCAGCTACCCAGCTAGCTACTCACTCACTCAGCCAGCTACCCAGCTACTCACTCACTCAGCCAGCTACCCAGCTAGCTACTCACTCAGCCAGCTACCTACCCAGCTACTCACTCACTCAGCCAGCTACCCAGCTAGCTACTCACTCACTCAGCCAACTACCCAGCCAGCTACTCACTCATTCAGCCAGCTACCTAGCTACTCACTCACTCACTCAGCCAGCTACCCAGTTAGCTACTCACTCACTCAGCCAGCTACCCAGCTAGCTACTCACTCAGCCAGCTACCCAGCTAGCTACTCACTCAGCCAGCTACCCAGCCAGCTACTCACTCACTCAGCCAGCTACCCGGCTAGCTACTCACTCACTCACTCAGCTACTCACTCACTCAGCCAGCTACCCAGCTACTCACTCACTCAGCCAGCTACCCAGCAACTCACTCACTCACTCAGCCAGCTACCCAGCCAGCTACTCACTCACTCAGCCAGCTACCCAGCTACTCACTCACTCAGCCAGCTACCCAGCTAGCTACTCACTCACTCAGCCAGCTACCCAGCTACTCACTCACTCAGCCAGCTACCCAGCCAGCTACTCACTCACTCAGCCAGCTACCCAGCTACTCACTCACTCAGCCAGCTACCCAGCTACTCACTCACTCAGCCAGCTACCCAGCCAGCTACTCACTCACTCAGCCAGCTACCCAGCTACTCACTCACTCAGCCAGCTACCCAGCTAGCTACTCACTCAGCCAGCTACCCAGCTACTCACTCACTCAGCCAGCTACCCAGCTAGCTACTCACTCACTCAGCCAGCTACCCAGCTACTCACTCACTCAGCCAGCTACCCAGCTAGCTACTCACTCAGCCAGCTACCTACCCAGCTACTCACTCACTCAGCCAGCTACCCAGCTAGCTACTCACTCACTCAGCCAGCTACCCAGCCAGCTACTCACTCATTCAGCCAGCTACCTAGCTACTCACTCACTCACTCAGCCAGCTACCCAGCTAGCTACTCACTCAGCCAGCTACCCAGCTACTCACTCACTCAGCCAGCTACCCAGCTAGCTACTCACTCAGCCAGCTACCTACCCAGCTACTCACTCACTCAGCCAGCTACCCAGCTAGCTACTCACTCACTCAGCCAGCTACCCAGCTAGCTACTCACTCAGCCAGCTACCCAGCTAGCTACTCACTCAGCCAGCTACCCAGCTAGCTACTCACTCACTCAGCCAGCTACCCAGCTAGCTACTCACTCACTCAGCTAGCTACTCACTCACTCAGCCAGCTACCCAGCTAGCTACTCACTCACTCAGCCAGCTACACAGCTACTCACTCACTCAGCCAGCTACACAGCTAGCTACTCACTCAGCCAGCTACCTACCCAGCTACTCACTCACTCAGCCAGCTACCCAGCTAGCTACTCACTCACTCAGCCAACTACCCAGCCAGCTACTCACTCATTCAGCCAGCTACCTAGCTACTCACTCACTCACTCAGCCAGCTACCCAGTTAGCTACTCACTCACTCAGCCAGCTACCCAGCTAGCTACTCACTCAGCCAGCTACCCAGCTAGCTACTCACTCAGCCAGCTACCCAGCCAGCTACTCACTCACTCAGCCAGCTACCCGGCTAGCTACTCACTCACTCACTCAGCTACTCACTCACTCAGCCAGCTACCCAGCTACTCACTCACTCAGCCAGCTACCCAGCAACTCACTCACTCACTCAGCCAGCTACCCAGCCAGCTACTCACTCACTCAGCCAGCTACCCAGCTACTCACTCACTCAGCCAGCTACCCAGCTAGCTACTCACTCACTCAGCCAGCTACCCAGCTAGCTACTCACTCACTCAGCCAGCTACCCAGCCAGCTACTCACTCACTCAGCCAGCTACCCAGCTACTCACTCACTCAGCCAGCTACCCAGCTACTCACTCACTCAGCCAGCTACCCAGCCAGCTACTCACTCACTCAGCCAGCTACCCAGCTACTCACTCACTCAGCCAGCTACCCAGCTAGCTACTCACTCAGCCAGCTACCCAGCTACTCACTCACTCAGCCAGCTACCCAGCTAGCTACTCACTCACTCAGCCAGCTACCCAGCTACTCACTCACTCAGCCAGCTACCCAGCTAGCTACTCACTCAGCCAGCTACCTACCCAGCTACTCACTCACTCAGCCAGCTACCCAGCTAGCTACTCACTCACTCAGCCAGCTACCCAGCCAGCTACTCACTCATTCAGCCAGCTACCTAGCTACTCACTCACTCACTCAGCCAGCTACCCAGTTAGCTACTCACTCAGCCAGCTACCCAGCTACTCACTCACTCAGCCAGCTACCCAGCTAGCTACTCACTCAGCCAGCTACCTACCCAGCTACTCACTCACTCAGCCAGCTACCCAGCTAGCTACTCACTCACTCAGCCAGCTACCCAGCTAGCTACTCACTCAGCCAGCTACCCAGCTAGCTACTCACTCAGCCAGCTACCCAGCTAGCTACTCACTCACTCAGCCAGCTACCCAGCTAGCTACTCACTCACTCAGCCAGCTACTCACTCACTCAGCCAGCTACCCAGCTACTCACTCACTCAGCCAGCTACCCAGTTAGCTACTCACTCACTCAGCCAGCTACCCAGCTACTCACTCAGCCAGCTACTCACTCACTCAGCCAGCTACCCAGCTAGCTTGTTGATGTTGATGTTGTTGATGTTGTTGATGTTGATGTTGTTGATGTTGTTGTTGACGTTGTTGATGTTGTTGTTGATGTTGTTGATGTTGTTGTTGATGTTGTTGATGTTGATGTTGATGTTGTTGATGTTGTTGATGTTGTTGTTGACGTAGTAGTTGTTGTTGTTGTTGATGTTGTTGACGTTGTTGTTGTTGACGTAGTAGTTGTTGTTGTAGTTGTTGACCTTGTAGTTGTTGTTGTTGTTGTTGATGTAGTTGTTGTAGTTGTTGTTGTTGTTGTAGTTGACCTTGTAGTTGTTGTTGACGTAGTAGTTGTTGTTGTTGTTTAAGTTGTTGTTTAAGTTGTTGTTGTTGATGTTGTTGTAGTTGACCTTGTTGTTGTTGTTGACGTTGTTGATGTTGTTGTTGATGTTGTTGTAGTTGACCTTGTTGTTGTTTAAGTTGTTGTTGTTGTAGTTGTTGACGTAGTAGTTGTAGTTGTTGTAGTTGACCTTGTTGTTGTTTAAGTTGTAGTTGACCTTGTTGTTGTTGTTGTTGATGTTGTTGTAGTTGTTGTTGTTTAAGTTGTTGACGTAGTTGTTGTTGTTGTTTAAGTTGTTGTTTAAGTTGTTGTTTAAGTTGTTGTTTAAGTAGTTGTTGTTGTTGTTGATGTTGTTGTTGTTTAAGTTGTTGTTTAAGTTGTTGACCTTGTAGTTGTTGTTTATGTTGTTGTTTAAGTTGTTGTTGTTGTTTAAGTTGTTGACCTTGTAGTTGTTGTTGATGTTGTTGTTGTTGTTTAAGTTGTTGACCTTGTAGTTGTTGTTTAAGTAGTTGTTGTTGTTTAAGTTGTTGTTGTTGTTGTTGATGTTGTTGTAGTTGTTGTTGTTTAAGTTGTAGTTGACCTTGTTGTAGTTGTTGTTGACGATGTAGTTGTTGTTGTAGTTGTTTAAGTTGTTGTTGTTTAAGTTGTTGACCTTGTAGTTGTTGTTTAAGTTGTTGATGTTTAAGTTGTTGATGTTTAAGTTGTTGTTTAAGTTGTTGACCTTGTAGTTGTTGTTGTTGTTGTTGTTGTTTAAGTTGTTGTTGTTGTTGTTTAAGTTGTTGTTTAAGTTGTTGTTGTTGTTGTTGTTGTTGTTTAAGTTGTTGACCTTGTAGTTGTTGTTGTTGTTGTTTAAGTTGTTGTTGTTGTTTAAGTTGTTGTTTAAGTTGTAGTTGTTGTTGTTGTTTAAGTTGTTGTTTAAGTTGTTTAAGTTGTTGTTTAAGTTGTTGTTTAAGTTGTTTAAGTTGTTGTTGTTGTTTAAGTAGTTGTTGTTGTTTAAGTTGTTTAAGTTGTTGTTTAAGTTGTTGTTTAAGTTGTTGTTGTTGTAGTTGTTGACCTTGTAGTTGTTGTTGTAGTTGTTTAAGTTGTTGACCTTGTAGTTGTTGTTGTTGTTTAAGTTGTTGACCTTGTAGTTGTTGTTTAAGTTGTTGTTTAAGTTGTTGATGTTTAAGTTGTTGTTTAAGTTGTTGTTGTTGTTGTTGTTTAAGTTGTTGACCTTGTAGTTGTTGTTGTTGTTGTTTAAGTTGTTGTTGTTGTTTAAGTTGTTGTTTAAGTTGTAGTTGTTGTTGTTGTTTAAGTTGTAGTTGTTGTTGTTGTTTAAGTTGTTGTTGTTGTTGTTTAAGTTGTAGTTGTTGACCTTGTTGTTGTTGTTTAAGTTGTAGTTGTTGTTGTTTAAGTTGTTGACCTTGTTGACCTTGTAGTTGTTGTTTAAGTTGTTGTTTAAGTTGTTTAAGTTGTTGTTTAAGTTGTTGTTTAAGTTGTTTAAGTTGTTGTTGTTGTTTAAGTAGTTGTTGTTGTTTAAGTTGTTTAAGTTGTTGTTTAAGTTGTTGTTTAAGTTGTTGTTGTTGTAGTTGTTGACCTTGTAGTTGTTGTTGTAGTTGTTTAAGTTGTTGACCTTGTAGTTGTTGTTGTAGTTGTTTAAGTTGTTGACCTTGTAGTTGTTGTTGTTGTTTAAGTTGTTGACCTTGTAGTTGTTGTTTAAGTTGTTGTTTAAGTTGTTGATGTTTAAGTTGTTGTTTAAGTTGTTGTTGTTGTTGTTTAAGTTGTTGACCTTGTTGTTGTTGTTGTTGTTTAAGTTGTTGACCTTGTTGACCTTGTAGTTGTTGTTGTTGTTGTTGTTTAAGTTGTTGTTGTTGTTTAAGTTGTTGTTGTTGACCTTGTAGTTGTTGTTGTTGTTGTTTAAGTTGTTGTTTAAGTTGTTTAAGTTGTTGTTGTTGTTGTTTAAGTTGTTGTTGTTTAAGTTGTTGTAGTTGTTGACCTTGTAGTTGTTGTTGTTGTTGTTGTAGGGGTTCTCCTGCACGGCCCTCCAGGCTGCGGCAAGACTCTCGTCGCCAGAGCCACCGCCAGCGAAGCCGGGTGCAGGTAACATAAATTATAATAAATTAGCATGAATTAGCATAAATTAGCATGGATTAGCATGAATTAGCATTGGCACGCAAGAACATTCATCCAGTACATAAACACCCAAGCTCTGTCATTCTGTCATTCCGTGACTAACGCGCCACGGATTGGTTTGAAGTGGGTCACGTGACCGGGACCAAGCAGCCAATCAACGCTTGGCGGGGCCGTAGAGGGGGCGGGTGAAAGTTCGCATCGAACCAAAACCCCCAGCGAGGACGTTTATTTAAATTTTTATTTTATTTTGTATTTTATAAAAAAATTATAATTTTATTATTGTATTTAAATTTTATTTTTATTTTATTATTCTTTATGCAATAATTATTTTAATTTTAATGTAATTTTTATTATTATGCGCAATTTGTAGGAATTTTTTATTTATGTTTTATATTGTTTTTATAATATGTCATTTTTATTTTATTATTTTATTTCAATCGTATTTGTTATTTTTATTGTATTAGTTTCCACGCAATCACTATTTTATTATTTATTTTATTCTAATTCCATTTTTATTTTATTAAAATGTTTTTTTTTATTTTTTATTTTGTTTTATTTGTATTTTAATTGTTATTACTTTATTATATTTTACTTTTTATTATTTCATTTCCGTTCTCCGTGACTTTACCGAGACAACCATGAAGAATTAAACCAAGAAATGTCGTTTTCACTTTTAATTATTCCAGATGTATAAATGATCTGAGCTTTTAATGAAGAAGTTATCTAATTAAAAACATAATACAATTTAAAAAAATATATTTGAAGCTTTCGTGACTGCAGGAATTAATATTCTTGGTTCTCTGGGGTAAAGTCACCGTCAAGTAGAAGGGAAATAATGAAATAAAAAATAATATATTTGTTATTATTTGTTTTATTATTAAAAACTAAAACGTGTTTATAAAACACGTTTTATGTTTTTATTATTATTTATGTTCCATTTTTATTAAACGTAATTTTTTTTAAATTAAAAAATTAAACGCGATATGTTTATAAAACATAATGTTTTAATTTTTATTATTTATGTTTTATATTTTTATTATTTTATTGTTCCCCTATCTACGTGGTGGTGACTTTACCCCAAAGAACCAAGAATAATAATTTTATTGTTTTATATTTTTATTATTTTATTGTTTCCCTTCTACGTGGTGGTGACTTTACCCAAAGAACCAAGAATAATAATTTTATTGTTTTATATTTTTATTATTTTATTGTTTCCCTATCTACGTGGTGGTGGTGACTTTACCACAAAGAACCAAGAATAATAATTTTATTGTTTTATATTTTTATTATTTTATTGTTTCCCTTCTACGTGGTGGTGACTTTACCCAAAGAACCAAGAATAATAATTTTATTGTTTTATATTTTTATTATTTTATTGTTTCCCTATCTACGTGGTGGTGGTGACTTTACCACAAAGAACCAAGAATAATAATTTTATTGTTTTATATTTTTATTATTTTATTGTTTCCCTTCTACGTGGTGGTGACTTTACCCAAAGAACCAAGAATAATAATTTTATTGTTTTATATTTTTATTATTTTATTGTTTCCCTATCTACGTGGTGGTGGTGACTTTACCCAAAGAACCAAGAATAATAATTTTATTGTTTTATATTTTTATTATTTTATTGTTCCCCTATCTACGTGGTGGTGGTGACTTTACCCAAAGAACCAAGAATAATAATTTATTGTTTTATATTTTTATTATTTTATTGTTTCCCTTCTACGTGGTGGTGGTGACTTTACCCAGAGAACCAAGAATAATAATTTTATTGTTTTATATTTTTATTATTTTATTGTTTCCCTTCCACGTGGTGGTGACTTTACCCAAAGAACCAAGAATAATAATTTTATTGTTTTATATTTGTATTATTTTATTGTTTCCCTTCTACGTGGTGGTGGTGACTTTACCCAGAGAACCAAGAATAATAATTTTATTGTTTTATATTTTTATTATTTTATTGTTTCCCTTCTACGTGGTGGTGACTTTACCCAGAGAACCAAGAATAATAATTTTATTGTTTTATATTTTTATTATTTTATTGTTTCCCTATCTACGTGGTGGTGACTTTACCAAAAGAACCAAGAATAATAATTTTATTGTTTTATATTTTTATTATTTTATTGTTTCCCTATCTACGTGGTGGTGACTTTACCCAAAGAACCAAGAATAATAATTTTATTGTTTTATATTTTTATTATTTTATTGTTTCCCTTCTACGTGGTGGTGACTTTACCCAAAGAACCAAGAATAATAATTTTATTGTTTTATATTTTTATTATTTTATTGTTTCCCTTCTAACGTGGTGGTGACTTTACCCAAAGAACCAAGAATAATAATTTTATTGTTTTATATTTTTATTATTTTATTGTTTCCCTTCTACGTGGTGGTGGTGACTTTACCCAAAGAACCAAGAATAATAATTTTATTGTTTTATATTTGTATTATTTTATTGTTTCCCTTCTACGTGGTGGTGACTTTACCCAAAGAACCAAGAATAATAATTTTATTGTTTTATATTTTTATTATTTTATTGTTTCCCTATCTACGTGGTGACTTTACCCAAAGAACCAAGAATAATTTTATTGTTTTACATTTTTATTATTTTATTGTTTCCCTATCTACGTGGTGGTGACTTTACCCCCAAAGAACCAAGAATAATAATTTTATTGTTTTATATTTTTATTATTTTATTTTTTCCCTTCTACGTGGTGGTGACTTTACCCAAAGAACCAAGAATAATAATTTTATTGTTTTATATTTTTATTATTTTATTGTTTCCCTATCTACGTGGTGGTGGTGACTTTACCCAAAGAACCAATAATATGAATGCCTGCAGTCACGAAGGATTTAAAAGGGAATTAATATTCATAAGCAGCCAACTTCCACAAATTAGTCAGGATCCATCCAAATTAATTCTAATTGATGCAAAAATTCGAATTGAAACCAGATTCTCATTGCTACAAATTAATTATAATTTATTATAATTTATTCAGGTTCGTGAATCTGCAGCCGGTCGGTGCTGACGGACGAGTCGTACACGGACAATTACCATAATTATTCTAATTAATTCAAATTTACGTTAATTGTTAGCAGGTTTTTGAATTGGAACGCATTATCGCACTCAATTATAATTTATGCTAATGCATGTTAATTTATGCTAATGCATGTTAATTTATGCTAATGCATGTTAATTTGTGCTAATGCCACCCGCAGGTTCGTGAATCTGCAGCCGTCGGTACTGACGGACAAGTGGCGCACAAACTATCCCGCTCAATTTTAATTTATTATAATCTATGTTAATTTATGCTAATGTACCCGCAGGTTCGTGAATCTGCAGCCGTCGGTACTGACGGACAAGTGGCACACAAACTATCCCACTCAATTATAATTTATTATAATCTATGTTAATTTATGCTAATGCCACCCGCAGGTTCGTGAATCTGCAGCCGTCGGTACTGACGGACAAGTGGCACACAAATTATCCCGCTCAATTATAATTTATGTTAATCTATGCTAATTTATGCTAATGCCACCCGCAGGTTCGTGAATCTGCAGCAGTCGGTACTGACGGACGAGCGGCGCACAAACTATCCCGCTCAATTATAATTTATTATAATGTATGTTAATTTCTGCTAATGCCACCCGCAGGTTCGTGAATCTGCAGCCGTCGGTACTGACGGACAAGTGGCACACAAACTATCCCACTCAATTAAAATTTATTATAATTTATTATAATGTATGTTAATTTATGCTAATGCCACCCGCAGGTTCGTGAATCTGCAGCCGTCGGTACTGACGGACAAGCGGCACACAAACTATCCCACTCAATTATAATTTATTATAATTTATTATAATGTATGCTAATTTATGCTAATGCCACCCGCAGGTTCGTGAATCTGCAGCCGTCGGTACTGACGGACAAGCGGCACACAAACTATCCCACTCAATTATAATTTATTATAATTTATTATAATCTATGTTAATTTATGCTAATGCCACCTGCAGGTTCGTGAATCTGCAGCCGTCGGTACTGACGGGCAAGCGGCACACAAACTATCCCACTCAATTATAATTTATTATAATTTATTATAATGTATGCTAATTTATGCTAATGCCACCCGCAGGTTCGTGAATCTGCAGCCGTCGGTACTGACGGACAAGCGGCACACAAACTATCCCACTCAATTATAATTTATTATAATTTATTATAATCTATGTTAATTTATGCTAATGCCACCCGCAGGTTCGTGAATCTGCAGCCGTCGGTACTGACGGGCAAGCGGCACACAAACTATCCCACTCAATTATAATTTATTATAATTTATTATAATGTATGCTAATTTATGCTAATGCCACCCGCAGGTTCGTGAATCTGCAGCCGTCGGTACTGACGGACAAGCGGCACACAAACTATCCCACTCAATTATAATTTATTATAATTTATTATAATCTATGTTAATTTATGCTAATGCCACCCGCAGGTTCGTGAATCTGCAGCAGTCGGTACTGACGGACAAGCGGCGCACAAACTATCCCGCTCAATTATAATTTATTATAATGTATGTTAATTTCTGCTAATGCCACCCGCAGGTTCGTGAATCTGCAGCCGTCGGTACTGACGGACAAGTGGTACGGAGAGAGCCAGAAGCTCACGGCAGCCGTCTTCTCCCTGGCGAGGAAAATCCGGCCAACGATCATTTTTATAGACGAGATTGGTGGGTGGAAGGGTGGGTGGGGTGGGTGGGTGGGTGGGTGAGTGGGTGGGTGGGTGAGTGAGTGGGTGGGGGGGTGGGTGAGTGGGTGGGTGGGTGGGTGAGTGGGTGGGTGAGTGGGTGGAAGGGTGGGTGGGGTGGGTGGGTGGGTGAGTGAGTGGGTGGGTGAGTGGGTGGGTGAGTGGGTGGGTGGGTGAGTGGGTGGGTGAGTGGGTGGGTGGGTGAGTGGGTGGGTGAGTGGGTGGGTTAGTGGATGGGTGGGTGAGTGGGTGGGTGGGTGAGTGAGTGGGTGGGGGGGTGAGTGGGTGGGTGGGTGAGTGGGTGGGTGAGTGGGTGGGTGGGTGAGTGGGTGGGTGGGTGAGTGGGTGGGTGGGTGAGTGGGTGGGTGAGTGGGTGGGTGGGTGGGTGAGTGGGTGGGTGGGTGAGTGGGTGGGTGGGTGAGTGAGTAAATGACTGGCTGAGTGAGTGACTGACTGAGTAACTAACTGACTGACTAACTGACTGACTGAGTGACTAACTAACTTACTGACTAACTAACTGACTGAGTGACTGACTAACTAACTGACTGACTAACTGACTGAGTGACTGACTGACTAACTGAGTGACTGACTGACTAACTCACTCACTGACTGACTAACTGACTAACTAACTCACTAACTGACTAACTGACTGACTAACTCACTGACTGACTGAGTGACTAACTAACTAACTCACTGACTGACTGACTAACTGACTGACTAACTAACTGACTAACTAACTAACTAACTGACTAACTGACTAACTAACTGACTAACTAATTGACTAACTGACTAACTGACTAACTAACTGACTAACTGACTAACTGACTAACTAACTGACTAACTAACTGACTGACTAACTAACTGACTAACTAACTAACTAATTGACTAACTGACTAACTGACTAACTAACTGACTAACTGACTGACTAACTGACTGACTGACTGATTGACTGACTGACTAACTAACTAACTGACTGACTGACTAACTGATTGACTGACTGACTAACTAACTAACTGACTAACTAACTAACTGATTAACTGACTAACTAACTGACTAACTGACTGACTGACTAACTGACTGACTAACTGACTGACTAACTAACTAACTCACTAACTAACTGACTGACTAACTAACTGACTGACTAACTGACTGACTGACTGAGTGACTAACTAACTGACTAACTAACTGACTAACTGACTAACTAACTGAGTGTCTAACTACCTAGCTGGCTAACTAACTGAGTGACTGACTGACTGACTAACTGACTGAGTGTCTAACTGAGTGACTAACTGAGTGACTAACTGACTAACTCACTCACTGACTGACTAACTGACTAACTAACTCACTAACTGACTAACTGACTGACTAACTCACTGACTGACTGAGTGACTAACTAACTAACTAACTCACTGACTGACTGACTGACTGACTAACTGACTAACTAACTGACTAACTAATTGACTAACTGACTAACTGACTGACTAACTCATTGACTGACTGACTAACTAACTGACTAACTGACTGACTGACTAACTGATTGACTGACTGACTGACTAACTACCTAACTGACTAACTAACTGAGTGTTTGGCTGACTGACTGACTAACTGACTGAGTGTCTAACTGAGTGACTAACTGAGTGACTGACTAACTGACTAACTAACTAACTAACTGACTAACTAACTGACTGACTGAGTGACTAACTAACTGACTAACTAACTGACTAACTAACTGACTAACTAACTGACTAACTAACTGAGTGTCTAACTAACTGACTGACTGACTAACTGACTGAGTGTCTAACTACCTAACTGACTAACTAACTGAGTGTTTGACTGACTGACTAACTGACTGAGTGTCTAACTGAGTGACTAACAGAGTGACTAACTAACTGAGTGTCTAACTAACTGACTGACTGACTGAGTGTTTAACTACCTAACTGGCTAACTAACTGAGTGTTTGACTGACTGACTGACTAACTGACTGAGTGTCTAACTGAGTGACTAACTGAGTGACTGACTGACTGAGTGTCTAACTAACTGACTGAGTGATGTTCCCAGACTCGTTCCTCCGAAGCCGCTCATCTTCTGACCATGAAGCCACCGCTATGATGAAGGCTCAATTCATGTCTCTGTGGGACGGCCTGCAGACAGATCGTGACTCCAGCGAGGTGATGATGGTGGTGGTGGTGGTGATGGTGGTGGTGGTTCGTTGATGTTGTTGTTGATGTTGTTGATGTTGTTGTTGATGTTGTTGATGTTGTTGCAGGTGATGTTGTTGATGTTGTTTCGTTGATGTTGATGATGTTGTTTCGTTGTTGTTGATGATGTTGTTTCGTTGATGTTGATGATGTTGTTTCGTTGATGTTGATGATGTTGTTTCGTTGATGTTGATGATGTTGTTTCGTTGATGTTGATGATGTTGTTTCGTTGATGTTGATGATGTTGTTTCGTTGATGTTGATGATGTTGTTTCGTTGATGTTGATGATGTTGTTTCGTTGATGTTGATGATGTTGTTTCGTTGTTGTTGATGATGTTGTTTCGTTGATGTTGATGATGTTGTTTCGTTGATGTTGATGATGTTGTTTCGTTGATGTTGTTGTTGATGATGTTGTTTCGTTGATGTTGTTGTTGATGATGTTGTTTCGTTGATGTTGATGATGTTGTTTAGTTGATGTTGATGATGTTGTTTCGTTGATGTTGATGATGTTGTTTCGTTGATGTTGATGATGTTGTTGTTGTTGTTGATGATGTTGTTTCGTTGATGTTGTTGTTGATGATGTTGTTTCGTTGATGTTGATGATGTTGTTTCGTTGATGTTGATGATGTTGTTGTTGATGATGTTGTTGATGATGTTGTTTCGTTGATGTTGATGATGTTGTTTAGTTGATGTTGATGATGTTGTTTCGTTGATGTTGATGATGTTGTTGTTGATGATGTTGTTTCGTTGATGTTGATGATGTTGTTTCGTTGTTGTTGATGATGTTGTTTCGTTGATGTTGATGATGTTGTTTAGTTGATGTTGATGATGTTGTTTCGTTGATGTTGTTGTTGTTGATGATGTTGTTTCGTTGATGTTGTTGTTGATGATGTTGTTTCGTTGATGTTGATGATGTTGTTTAGTTGATGTTGATGATGTTGTTTCGTTGATGATGATGTTGTTGTTGTTGTTGATGATGTTGTTTCGTTGATGTTGTTGTTGATGATGTTGTTTCGTTGATGTTGATGTTGTTTAGTTGATGTTGATGATGTTGTTTCGTTGATGTTGATGATGTTGTTGTTGTTGTTGATGATGTTGTTTCGTTGATGTTGATGATGTTGTTTCGTTGATGTTGATGATGTTGTTTAGTTGATGTTGATGTTGTTGTTGTTGATGATGTTGTTTCGTTGATGTTGATGTTGTTGATGTTGATGATGTTGTTTCGTTGCTGTTGTTGTTGATGTTGTTGTTTCGTTGATGTTGTTGTTGATGTTGTTGATGTTGATGATGTTGTTGATGATGTTGATGATGTTGATGATGATGTTGTTTCGTTGATGTTGTTGTTTCGTTGATGTTGTTGTTGATGTTGTTGTTGTTGATGTTGTTGTTGATGTTGTTGTTATTGATGTTGTTGATGATGTTGTTGATGTTGCAGGTGATGATGATGTTGATGATGATGTTGATGTTGTTGTTGATGTTGTTGATGTTGTTGTTGTTCCTCTTTGCTTCTTTCGGTAAAGTCACCACCGCCACGTAGAATGAGAATAAAATAATAAATTGATAAAATAAAATAACACAACAGTAAAATTCTCACGACGTTTTCGGCCACAACACAAGCGGCCTTCATCAGGTGAAGGGGCGAGACTTTCTGTCTTTCACTCCAGCGCTGTCCTACCAGACGGTCTCGCCCCCTTCACCTGATGAAGGCCGCTTGTGTTGTTGCTGAAACGTCGTGTTAGAATATTATTATTGTGTTATTTTACTTCATCAATGTATTATTTAATTCTCATTCTACGTGGTGGTGGTGGTGGTGGTGACTTCACCGAAAAAGAACCAAAGAAGATGAATCCTCGCAGTCACGGAAGCTTTAAGTCGAAAAGTCAAATAGCGCGACGGTAAAATTTCCCACGACGTTTCGGGCCACGGCACAAGAGGCCTTAATCAGGTTCAAGCGACCCCAGGCGCCGTCTGGAGGACAGCGCTGGGATGAGACAGACGCACAAACAGAGAGAGACAGAGAGACACAGAGAGACACAGAGAGAGAGAGAGAGCCACGCTCAGAACCCGGATCCTTTAAACCCGTGTGCGAGAGCGTTAAGGTGCCTTGACAAAGGAATCGGCATGACCACAAATTTGGCAATTTGGCACGTGGCTATCCACGTGCACGAGCACAAGAGACAATTTCGACCGAGAAGATGGATTCTGGCTTAGCAATCATTGGAAGGATTTGATAAACCATTTCAGGGGTCTTAATCGATTGTTCATGCTTACGGCTACCATGAGAGATTCGTTCATGAGGCTATCCACGTACACGAGCACAAGAGACATTTTCGACCGAGAAGATGGATTCTGGCTTAGCAATCATTGGAAGGATTTGATAAACCATTTCAGGGGTCTTAATCGATTGTTCATGCTTACGGCTACCATGAGAGATTCGTTCATGAGGCTATCCACGTGCACGAGCACAAGAGACATTTTCGACCGAGAAGATGGATTCTGGCTTAGCAATCATTGGAAGGATTTGATAAACCATTTCAGGGGTCTTAATCGATTGTTCATGCTTACGGCTACCATGAGAGATTCGTTCATGAGGCTATCCACGTGCACGAGCACAAGAGACATTTTCGACCGAGAAGATGGATTCTGGCTTAGCAATCATTGGAAGGATTTGATAAACCATTTCAGGGGTCTTAATTGATTGTTCATGCTTACGGCTACCATGAGAGATTCGTTCATGAGGCTATCCACGTGCACAAGCACAAGAGACAATTTCGACCGAGAAGATGGATTCTGGCTTAGCAATCATTGGAAGGATTTGATAAAGCATTTCAGGGGTCTTAATTGATTGTTCATGCTTACGGCTACCATGAGAGATTCGTTCATGAGGCTATCCACGTACACGAGCACAAGAGACATTTTCGACCGAGAAGATGGATTCTGGCTTAGCAATCATTGGAAGGATTTGATAAACCATTTCAGGGGTCTTAATTGATTGTTCACGCTTACGGCTACCATGAGAGATTCGTTCATGAGGCTATCCACGTACACAAGCACAAGAGACAATTTCGACCGAGAAGATGGATTCTGGCTTAGCAATCATTGGAAGGATTTGATAAACCATTTCAGGGGTCTTAATTGATTGTTCATGCTTACGGCTACCATGAGAGATTCGTTCATGAGGCTATCCACGTGCACAAGCACAAGAGACAATTTCGACCGAGAAGATGGATTCTGGCTTAGCAATCATTGGAAGGATTTGATAAACCATTTCAGGGGTCTTAATCGATTGTTCATGCTTACGGCTACCATGAGAGATTCGTTCATGAGGCTATCCACGTACACAAGCACAAGAGACAATTTCGACCGAGAAGATGGATTCTGGATTAGCAATCATTGGAAGGATTTGATAAACCATTTCAGGGGTCTTAATCGATTGTTCATGCTTACGGCTACCATGAGAGATTCGTTCATGAGGCTATCCACGTGCACGAGCACAAGAGACAATTTCGACCGAGAAGATGGATTCTGGCTTAGCAATCATTGGAAGGATTTGATAAACCATTTCAGGGGTCTTAATTGATTGTTCATGCTTACGGCTACCATGAGAGATTCGTTCATGAGGCTATCCACGTACACGAGCACAAGAGACATTTTCGACCGAGAAGATGGATTCTGGCTTAGCAATCATTGGAAGGATTTGATAAACCCTTTCGGGGGTCTTAATCGATTGTTCATGCTTACGGCTACCATGAGAGATTCGTTCATGAGGCTATCCACGTACACGAGCACAAGAGACATTTTCGACCGAGAAGATGGATTCTGGCTTAGCAATCATTGGAAGGATTTGATAAACCATTTCAGGGGTCTTAATCGATTGTTCATGCTTACGGCTACCATGAGAGATTCGTTCATGAGGCTATCCACGTACACGAGCACAAGAGACATTTTCGACCGAGAAGATGGATTCTGGCTTAGCAATCATTGGAAGGATTTGATAAACCATTTCAGGGGTCTTAATCGATCGTTCACGCTTACGGTGGCTTTCAGACAGCGTACATTAAATATTTTGTCTCCCCCCTCCTCTGTTTCAGAACATAGATGGACTAGTCCTTCTAAATAATCTGCCAAATAGCTGCGCGTGGCGCTGACGTTTTTATAAATAAATAAATAGACACACCGTTTAAAAATAAATAAATTTATGCAAACCAACAAACCTGAAGACAACCGTTTGTGTTATGGTCGAAACGTCCGTGAGAATTTTTATTATTGTTTTATATATATACTTTATTATTTTTATTGTTTCCCCTTCAACGTGGTGACTTTACCGAAAGAACTAAGATTATATAATAATTATGATGAGAAATTTTAGCATTTAATTGGCGGACTTGAACGGTGTAGAGAGAGGGGGCGGACATGCACAGACTGGCATGGGCGAGAGGGGGAGTTTACATATTGGTGGCGTGGTTGCAAAAAGGGAAATTTTGTTTAAGAAGCTGTGAAAGTTTGCGGGTACCAGTACTTTAAAAAAATATATATATACACACACTGTACCGTTGGACAAAAAAATTAGTTTAACGTTTGGTTCGGATAATTTAGCATTGAAATAGCTGCGTGATTAGTTTGTGTGACTGGTCGCGGGAAATGGTCGTGTTAAAGTCAAAGCCTACACATCCACAGAGGCACCTGGTACAAATCAAACAGGAGGATTTAGCATTGAAATAGCTGAGTGATTACCTTGTGACTGGTCACAGAAATAGTTGTGTTAAAGTCAAAGCCTACACATCCACAGAGGC